CCTGGGGCCTGATAACAGATAAAGTGCCAAAGGACAGAGAGACACCAGCAAGCACACTGCACACAGTTGTACAGCACCGCCATACTGAGAAGCATCAGCAAGCAAAGAGCTACAGACATTTGTACCTTCATACTGAGAAACAATAGTCAGCAATGAGCTGCACACAGTTGTACCTTCGTATTGAGAAACATCAGCAAGCAGAGAACTGCAGACATTTGTACCTTAGTACAGAAACAACTTTCAACAAAGAATTCGAGACCTTTGTACAGGTCAAACGTTTTTTTAAAGTGGCAACACAATTAAAGAATTGGCAAGTAATTGAGCATGAGATCAGAGCTTTGCAGTACATTTTGCAGGATTATTTAAAGAGTTAAAGTAGTAAAGTTAGACTTTTTCACTGCTTAAAACCTATTTATTGTTGTCTTCCGACATAGTCAAAATTCAGGTGTTCCCGCTGAAGTTGATATTAGAGACGGGGTTGGCATAGATATTGGTTTTGGATTCTATCATCTTTGCCTTGGGGATTTGGAACATATCTTCCATTTTGAAGGAGTTGCTGTAAATACAGAGAAGGCAGATTAAATTCTGAAATAAAGAGTATACTTTATACACACATTTTCTACTAAAGTCTACAGTATACAGTATTTTAAAGACGAGAAATTATTGAGTCAGGAATTAGACACTGCTGTTGCCATCCCCAGTCATTTAGCATGTAATTAGATATGTGAAAAAGCAATAGATTCAGAAACATTTTGATTTAAGACTTATTTATACATACTATAAATATTTTTTAAAATGTTCAAAAAAGCAATGTTCCAGCCAGTAGTTTAAAACATACAGAAATATGTACCACATGCTTAAACCTGACAAGATATCCATTTACAAAAAAAAAACCATCAGTAGGAGTGAAGCCCTTAAATATCAAACACAGCCAGCTTCCCCACAATTTCATTTCCTGTGCGTCCACTAACCTTGGTCTGCTGAGGGTTGGCCGTAAGTACTTGGCTGTCTTGACTGCAAAGATGATGCTAGGAATCAGGAATACAGAGCACCAGCCCAGGCAGTGCCAGAAGGCATTCTGAAACAAAGACATGGGAAAGTGGTCACATAGGGTGACTGTCCCCATCGCAGGCTGCAGAACACATTGTACTGTACTGCAACAGTGCAAGAGTCTCACAAGTCATTCACATTCTCCTGTGCACGTTGCTTTCAAAACTAGAAACACTATGTCTGTTGCAGCCCTGCAAATGCACAGGACACCAGCTCTCACTCCACAAAAAGTATTAGAACAGCATGCGTCACACACTGGCACAGAAGAAATCAAAGGCACTTAATTACCTTTTCAGTAGTTCAGTCAAATTTTAATAGCAATGAAAAAAGCCAACAGATATAAAGGGGACAGCATACTTAATTCCCCTGGCTGAGGAAAAGAGTATGTTGGCTTAAGATCAATGCTGTCACTAGTCCTCTTACTTACGAAGGAATGAGCTAAGGAGGCAGTGGCAAAAGTGAAGTTGGGGTGAAGGGTGGGAAGGCAGAAAGATGCATGCAGAGCTGTGGGCAGCCAATGACTATACACAGGAGAGCGGAAGTCTGACAGAATTTGATTTCCTCCAGAATGTCTGTTAAATTATACCATTTGAAATTGTATATCAATTTTACAACTTACTAAACACAGGTACAAGAAAGTGTGACATTAAAAAGGCATATTCATTATTTTTTTACCTTATGTGATGAACATACTCTAGTACAGTTCAAAAGATACACCAGATTCCCAGACAGAAGAGACTGTGCTGTATCCTGCACTAGGGTAAGGACAGAAAAACACAGTGTCTCTGATGGTACTCACCCAGGGATCAATGATGTTCTCACACAGCACAGTGTATACATTATCCACATAGATGGCCAGTGGCTGGCAGACCAGAATCCTTTTAAGGATCTACAAATGAAAAAAACATTTCCTATCATTCTGATCCTTGAGGTCAATGATCTCCTGAGACTTGCTGACGAAGGTGAGCTCGTAGAAGAACAATTAAGATCTGTTTTTTTCCATTTCTTTAACCTTCTGTATTTAAACTAGACATGATGTAAGAAGTGAAGCAAATGGGCCGTAATAGCAAGAGGGTTGAAAACCGAAAAATAGCTGTCACGATCGTTACTCCTCCTCTTAAGGGCGCTCCAGCCCTTCCTTGTTCTGTCCCATTTCCCACACCTGTTCCTTATTCCAGCCCCTCTTTAGTTCCACCTTTAAAGCCAGACGCAGGCGATTGCTCGGGGCTTCTCATTGATTTCCGTGTCGTGAGAGCCCGGGGTCCTGCCGCGTCTGGCTC